AAATCAGGACCTTGGACAGCAGCCCTGTGAATGCAGAAACTGGACAAGGTTAATCTATGGAAACTGAGTGCTGCTCCAGACTGATCTACAGCCCACGGCGGCTGGGGGGGGGGGGATCTGCCAGGAAATCTGTGACCCACCTCCTTGGAAAACTGTTCTTCATGAAAAGGAACATGCCATGAAGAGAAATAACTAGAGCTGAAGATGTTTCTGGGGAGACATCATCAGTGTCTGAAGACAATGGCAAGGAGACCTTGTCAGGAGCAAGGGATGACAATTTCTTGGTGTTTCTTTCTTATTTACTTAATTGACAATCCATCTTTCTCATTGAGACTCAAGGCTCACGGTACTGTGTAAAACAGGGGTGTCAAACCTATGGCCCACGGGCTGGAACCGGCCCACACAGGCCTTTAATCCGGCCTGGGAGTGGGACTTTCTTCTCTTCTCTCCCCCCCCCCGTGCCCATCCTTGCTGTTCTCTGCTTGAGCCACCGGGGGAGTATAAAGAACAGAGGGTGGGGCTGCCTCTGAGAGCAGGAAGCAGAGGGCGGGGCTGCCTCAGAGCAGGAAGCAGGGGCTGGGGCTCCCAACCCCCCCGGCCACCGCTCCCAGCCTCTGTAGTCCTCATCACAGGTAGGAGCTGTGGGGGAGGTTCCTTCTGCTGTGATCCTTGTACTTCTTTTTTATTTTAAAACTGGCTTTGCAAAATCCCACAATCCCCCCACCTTTCCAGTGTACACAAGCACATTTTAAGAGTGTGGGGCGTGGTTTGGGACCAGCCGGGGTTAAAATATAGAGTTCTGCAAACTTAAGGGACTCCAGTTTTGCAGAGAAATATTAGTTTTAATACACACATCCTCCTAATGTGGAGCTCTAATGGAATAATAGCAGAAGAGGACGCCCAAAATTATTATCTCAAACCACCTTGTAACACCCCCCCCCCCGAGACCCTGGAAAGCCAGTGCCACTCCGAGTAGACCTGGGGGGGGGGGGGAGCGCTAGAGAGCGT